AATGGAAATATATGTTAGGAGTAATGGCAGAAATTGGGTACTGAGATCATAAGATTTCAGTTGGAAATAGATAAGCTCCAGAAAAAAAGCAATTAATCCTGAGGTCATTTGTGTGATATTTTGGCTCAAATCTTTCTTCTCCTGCCTATGCTCTGGAAATTTAGTAAGACAGAATTAAAAAATAATGGGCTAGTATCTTAAAGGCCATATTGAATCTATTCAGTGGCTATCACTTATGGCTCATCCAGGTGCACAGTGGAAAAAAACAAGTGGAACAAAAATTAATGAAAATGAAAAGGTAGTTTCAGACAGCAGTCATGTGTTGAAACAGGCAGGAATTTTTAAGGAGTTTATCACCATTATAGAGAAGGTCCATGCTATGGAATGGAAGCTTATCAAGGTGCCCTAAGTATAAGTAAGACTCTGGCCACAGAAACCTTCAATTTAGGGAAGGTGTGAGCAAAGTGATTCATAGTCTCAGGAAGCTACTTCTTTTTTTTGTTTGTTTTTGTTTTTGGAGACAGGGTTTCTCTGTGGTTATGGAGCCTGTCCTGGAACTAGCTCTTGTAAACCAGGCTGGTATCGAACTCACAGAGATCTGCCTTCCTCTGCCTCCCAAGTGCTGGGATTAAAGGCATGCGCCACCACCGACTGGCAGGAAGCTACTTCTTTCAAAACCTTCTGCACCTGTGGTCCAAGCTTGTTAGTGTCCTTCACAAATAAGAAATCACACTTTTCAGCATCACCCCATGTGTTGCTCTTGGAAACAAGAAAGAATCAAAATTTAAGATCACGAATTTTTAGTTTATGGTTACAGTTTATCATTGTTGCAGGCATCTATGTTAGGCAGAGTCAGAAGCCCAGTGAGGAGACAGTGAGAGTTCATTGCATGGAGCTCTGAGGATTGAAGCCTGGCGTTGTTGGTTGTTTCTTTTACTCTTTTCTCTTTTGAGGGCCTGAACACAGTTATTAAATAAATCATACACACGGAGGCTTTTTTTTTTTTTATAAACATCTGACCATGGCTTGCTTTGGCTTCTTTCAAGGCAGGTTTTTTTTTTTTTTTAAGATTTATTTATTTATTATATATACTATATTCTGCACCAGATCTCATTACAGATGGTTGTGAGCCACCATGTGGTTGCTGGGAATTGAACTCAGGACCTTCAGAAGAACAGGCAGTGCTCCTAACCTCTGAGCCATCTCTCCAGCCTTCAAGGCAGGTTGTTTTTAACTCAATTGTTCTCTCTATCTTTTCACTCTGGCCTTCATCTTTCTCTATTCTGTATTCTCTTCTTTATTTCTACTCCATGGCTTCTGTGTAGCTAGGTGAATGTCTCTCGTTGTCCTCCCCTTTTCTTGCCTCTTCTCTTTTTCCTCCCAGAGTTGTCCTCCCATTTATTCTTTTTTGGCAGCCAGCCCTCCCTATGCTTTCTTGCCATTCTATTGGTCATTCAACTCTTTTTCATTTAAGATAGGCAAAATATCACAACTTCACAGAGCTAAACCAATGCAGCATAAAAGACTACAGCACTTCTTTGCATCATTTAATCAAAAGTTCTACAGCATAAACAAGTATAACACAATTAAAAATGCTATTTTGCAACACACTGGGTTGCATTTTGAGCCCAAACATGTTAAGATACCTAAGTTATGACACTACTTCCATGGAGACCTAGCTGCTCATAGTGAGTGGAAGTAACCAAAGAGAGAAATGCATGAGAAGTCGCAAGGACAGGGCCGTTTAAGCTATTTGAAACTGAAGCCATGCATCTGACAAGGGAGCTACAGGATTTGATGTTTATCCTGCTCAGCTTCAGTCTTGCCTTGGTCCAGTCTTCCCTCACTGTGTCTCCATCTTTCTCTCCTGGAATGTTAATGGGATTTTGTGCCACTGTATGTTGGGAGTATGTAACTTGCTCTCAGAATGTAGAAGATGTTACAGTCTCTGAATTTATAAAATGTTACTGTCAACAGATTGTCTTCGGTGCCAGAGGAGTCTTTGTACTTTTAGATAGTAGCAGATGTGGATCATTGCATGAGAATCATTGCAGAGACTGAATACACTTTTTCATTGTTGACTATGAACCAATAGTGACCGGGGTCAGAGTGTACTTCACTGAATGAACAACCTCCCAGAGAAGATCATGTACTTGAACAAGTTTCTCTCCTTGGTGGCCTTTCTTTCAATTTCCTATGAACATTTAGTAGAAAAGGCCTTTCTAGATGAAATTCCTCAGTGTATGTGATGAGTAACAATATCCTTAACTAATTTTCTGACCTTTATATCTACTGTGTTGTGGTTGATATTAATCAGTCAGCTTCCCACTCATACTGAAATGCTTTTACCATCATTATAGGGCTGATCTGTAAAATCACATAAAATATAGAAGAAACAGTTGCTGTTCAGTGCTAAGGAATTTGATAGCCTGCAGTTTTAGTTGTTTGGTTTGCTTGTCTGAGTAACCTTTGCTGTGTGGCTCCAAATTCCTGAAAGTAAAGGGAGGGGGGCTTCATTCATTGATATAGGTATGAATAATTTGCATTGGTATGGATTTTACAGTCAATTTTGTTATATGTATATGTATTTCTGATCTTGATTAAGGTATTGTGATTGTGTAGTTCATTAAAAAATGTAATGTATAATTAAGAAATGTAGGTTGTTGATAGATAATCATAAATAATAGTCAAGCTTGTAGTCATGTTAGTTAGATTTTCTAGATATATAGAGATATATTTCAGTTAGATAGACATTCTTCATATCTTTCAAAGACTGCAGAATATGGCATTTAATGTTTTAGTAACTTAGGACTTTTCATGACAATGAGACATATCTGCTCCTGGAGGCACCAATCTTCGAGAGGAAGATGGGCATCGAAGAGGATCCTTATGGAGTTTGATAGCCATTTGGGCAAGAAACTGCTCTTGCCTGGACTGTTGCATAAAATGGACACAGAGAACCCGCAGAGAGAGGACTGCTGAACTTGCCTAAAGGTGAGACGGTCTTTTGGGGTTCATGACTCATAAAAGAGTCTGCGAGACATTCTGCAGGACACAGCAGATAGGGACTTAACTGTCTTTGAAATTGCCTGCTTGATGAAAATGTCTGCTGGATACTATGGGCCTGAAGGCTGAAGATGGATGCCCCAACAGTACAAAAGAACTTTGGGTGACTGTACAGGCAGCGAGATATCTCTGTCATTTCTAGAGTTTTCTTATTTCTTGTTTACTTAGGTAGTATTATATCCTTCTGGAGTCTTTGATGGAGTTGAAGAATGGATAGGTAGTTATAATTTTCCATTGTTATGATAGAAGATAAAATAGATACAAATATTGTAACTGTGATTCTTGCTTAATAACTGTTTTGCTATATGTAATTTTACTATGTTAAAGTTAAAGCCTTTCTTTTTGTTTAAACAGAAAAAGGGGAAGTGATGTGGGGGTGTCATATATCAATCTTTTGATTTCATTGGTTAAGCAATAAAGAAACTGCTTGGATGGCCCTCATAGGTTAAAACATAGGTAGGCGGAGTAAATAGAACAGAAGGCTGGGAGAAAGAAGCTAAGTCAGGAGTCGCCATGATTCTCCCACTCCAGACAGATGCAGGTTAAGATCATTCCTGGTAAGCCAGCTCGTGGGCTACACAGGTTATAAGAAATGGGCTAGTCCAGGTGCGAGAGTTAGCTGAGAAAAGGCTAGATATAATGGGCCAAGTGGTGTTTAAAAGAATACAGTTTCCCTGTAATTATTTTGAGTAAAGCTAGCAGTGGGGGCGGCTGGGTGCCGGGGACACAGCCCGCCACTCCAACTACAACAATTCATGGCTTTTTGTTTTGATGTTATTGGGTGATGACCCTGGAATGTAGGCTCTTTACATGTCAAGCATATGTTGCTGTGCTCAGCTTCATACATATCTTGAATTTTCAATTTGACAGAGGGTTTCATTCCGATCCCCAGGATGCCATGTATTCATGACATTAATACTGCCTGAGCATTCTGAGTCATTGAAATGCAGGTGCATGAATGTTTTCCTGCTTGTTATGCTTGCTTTTAATTTTTTTACTTAATATGACTATTTTATGTGTCTGCATGGATATGCACCATATGGATACCTGGTCATCAGAATGATCAAAGCATCTCAGAATCCCGAATTTGAAATAATAAATAGTTGCAATCCCCATATAAGTACTGGAGTTTGTGACCAGGAAGAGCTCAGTAGTACTCAACCATATTTCCAGACCTGTGCTAATTAGTTGTGTCCAATATTTATATTGCTAATGTTTTCATCTGTCCATTTGTAATTATTTTAAAAATGTAGCTCCTTTTCATAAAATGTTATTGGTATTACAGATTAAAATAAGACACTTCTGATGTCTGGAATATGAATACAGAACTGGAGTGAATGCATAATTCTTTGTAGGAGCTTCAGTAAACATCTCTAAATTCTTTATATCTGATTTTTATTCACTGATTTTTGCAATGGAGACAGGGTCTTAATGTGTACTTCCACCTGTCCTGGACATGATTCCATAGACTTGGCTGGCATTCAACTCAGAGACAAATATACATACCTCTGCTTTCTGAGTCCTGTGCTTAAAGGCCATGAGTCAATATAGCCAGTTTGTCCACTGTATTTTTCTTTTTTGTAATTAGTATTTTTCCATACAATTTTCTCATGTATACTATATCCTGTTGATCTGTTTCCTTAGCTCTCCCTAGTAATAGACAGTTCTTTTGTAAGGTGGTATCCCATTCAAAGTGTATAGAAATGACAGAGGTGACTCTCCTATTCAATTTCCTTCTAAAGTGACTGTCTCATGGAATAAGAGTGGGGAATTTTATGACTATACTGTCAAAGAAGTATACATTTACAATGTTGTCACCATCATACTTCCTATTAAACACATGAATGAAATATTTTAGAGGACAGTGACCTATGATGATGTGCATATCAACTTCACTAAGGAAGAGTGGGATTTGCTGGATCCTTCCCAGAAGAATCTCTACAAAGATGTGATGCTGGAGACCTACAGGAACCTCACTACTATAGGTAAAAATGAATTTCCTTCATGTTTCAAAATAAGGGGACAACTTTTTCTTGGTTAATCATGTTCTTTTGTAAATTGATTTAGAAAGAATAAGAATGAGTTGAATAAAGCAGTCATAGTTCTAAGGTTCTCTTAAGATAACAGCTTAAATATTACACAATTTTCAATAATATACATTTTCTGGTATTATGTTTTAGGATGCATTTGGGATGACCATAATAGTGAAGAACATTGTCAATGTTCTAGAAGACATGAAAGGTAATTTTCATGTGCAAATCTGATAACAATGTGCCTCTGATAAAATTGTCATGTGTCCTGTAAGTTTTAAATAGGAGCAACAGTGTAAATAAGCACAACTTTAAGTGCACTGATGGTTATTAATTTTTCATGAATCCATATATCATATATGTGAATTGTATTTGAATGACATTCTCTTAAGAAAGGAGTCAAGAAAGCGATGCCTAAAACAGATATCACCTTTTGAAGCATAACAACATGAGAACTTTGTTGTAGATCTGCAAATACATTTCTAGCTTGCTACTCATAATACAAAAGGTATACACACTGAAGAGATAATAAGTATATCTGCAAAACTTCCTACTAAAACCAATAGCCCATAGTAAATCTTGTATTACTCATACACTTCTTGTGACCGTGCTAAGTTTAGTCAGAGGAACAGTTAGAGTCGAGTCAAGTTGTTGTGGAGAAACCTTGATATCTATACCACAAATCTGTGAGGAACAGCAAGTCAAACCCTGAGAATTCAATGTGGAAATCTTCTATTTGTTATTCTTCTTTACTAAGTATACCCTATGTTACTCTAGATACAAGCGTATGAACATAGGGATATAGTGAGTTGTAGCATACCTCTCTCTAAAAACAATTAGATGATAAGACATAGCCCCCATGCAGAGTATACTTGTTGAATTTTATTCCACTATGCAAGTAATCAGTTTTCCACCATCATTTTTAATACATGAACAAACGCACACTGCAAAAAATCCCTATGAGTTCTAGCACTGTGTAAATACTTCCTGGTGTCCTCGTTCACATAGCAAATGCATTATGATTCACAGTATAGGAGAATTCATGTATGTTAAAGCTCTGAGTTTATCCAGTTCTCTTCACATATGTATAAAATATCATATAGAAAAAAGTTTCTGCGAAGGTGAAAAGGTAAGCCATAAAAGAAAGGAATTTATCATTGGAGATATCTTCAAAGTTGCAAAACAGTGCCTAATTAAAGACTAACACATGAGTTTAGACACAGTTTTTAAAACTTAGCATCTGATTCCTTTTTACAATTGGAACATATTATAAAATTAATTCATACAAATGTTTAGGCACAACTAGTTGACTGTGGTAAAGCTTTTACATGTGCCAATTATCCTTGCAGGATTAAAAGAATTCAAACTGGAGAGAAACTTTCAGTATATCTTCAGTGTGGTAAACCCTTGACATATGACAGTCACCTTAAATGGAATGAAAGAACAAAGACTGGAGAGAAACCCTATGAATGTAATCAGTGTGGTAAGGTCTCTTCAGGTCACAGTAATCTACAAAAGCATAAAAGGACACGTACTAGAGAAAAACCCTATGGATGTTATCAGTGTGATAAGGCTTTTGATTGTCACAGTGATCTTCAAAGGCATGAAAGAACACACACTGGAGAGAAACCTTATGAATGTAATCAGTGTGGAAAGGCCTTTGCACAGCAAAGTGGTCTTCAAAAGCATCAAAGAACACATACTGGAGAGAAACCCTATAAATGTAATGAGTGTGGGAAGGCCTTTGCAGCTCACAGTAATCTTCAAAGTCATAAAAGGACACATACTGGGGAGAAACCCTATAAATGTAATGAGTGTGGGAAGGCCTTTGCAGTCCACCGTACTCTTCAATTGCATCAAAGAACACATACTGGAGAGAAACCCTATGAATGTAATCAGTGTGGGAAGGCCTTTGCACAGCACAGTGGTCTTCAAAGTCATAAAAGAACACATACTGGAGAGAAGCCTTATGGATGTAATCAGTGTGGAAAGGCCTTTGCAGAGCTGAGTGGTCTACAAAATCATAAAAGAACACATACCGGAGAGAAGCCCTATGAATGTAATGAGTGTGGTAAGGCCTTTGCAGTGCACCGTACTCTTCAATTGCATCAAAGAAGACACACTGGAGAGAAGCCCTATGAATGTAATCAGTGTGGGAAGGCCTTTGCACAGCACAGTGGTCTTCAAAGTCATAAAAAAACACATATTGGAGAGAAACCTTATGAATATAATCAATGTGGTAAGGCCTTTGCAGAGTGCTTTGCAATTGCATAAAAGATCACACTGGAAAGAAACCCTATGAATGTAATCAGTGTGGTAAGGTCTTTGCAGCTCACAGTAATCTTAAGAGGCTTACAAGATCTCACTCTAGGTAGAAACCCTATGAATGTAATCAGAGTGATAAGACCTTTCCTGGCCATTGTATTCATCAAGTGCATAAAACATACTGGAGAGAAACCCTATTATCATAATCAGTGTGGTAAGGCCTTTGCACATCACTGTCATTTTCAAAGGCATAAAATAACACACAGTAGAGAGAAACCCTTTGATTTTATTCAGTGTGCTAAGACCTTTGCAGATCACAGTAATATTTACAGGCATACAAAAACACATGCTGGTGAGAAACAGTACGAATGAAATCAGTGTGATAAAGCCTTTTCATGTCTTATTCATCTTCAAATGTACAAAAGTACATATTCAGGAAAGAAACTGTGAGTATAATTTGTGTGGTAAATCCTTTGTCACAATAATCTCCAACTACATGAAATAAACCCTTCTGGAGAGAAACTATGAATTTAATGAGTGTAGTTTTCAAAATCATGAGAAAAATCATATTGTAGTGAAACTCTTAAATTAATTCAGTGTGCTAAAGTTTTCTACTTTATACTGGAGTAAAACTTTTTGGTAATCAGTCTGATAATGCTTTTTCATATTACAGTAGTCTTTGGGTACCTGAAGAAGAAATTGAGGGTTTATTCTAAATTATTTTTTTAAATTTATTTATTATGTATACAATATTCTGTCTGTGTGTATGGCCAGAAGAGGGCACCAGACCCCATTACAGATGGTTGTGAGCCACCATGTGGTTGCTGGGAATTGAACTCAGGACCTTTGGAAGAGCAGGCAATGCTCTTAACCTCTGAGCCATCTCTCCAGCCCTCTAAATTATTTTTTAAGACATTAAGCCAATACACTTAAAGTCAGTTAATCAACATTTATTCTGTAGAGAAAAATTGATAGTGTCAATGATCTGTTCAAGCATTATGATACCTCCTTATTTTTTTTGCACCAGCAAACTGATGGCCAAAACCTAATTTATGAATATATGAAGTCTTATGGGTAGGAGAAAGGTCCTTTCAAAGAAACATACCCTGGTCCTGAAATGAAATCCAAAGGAAACACTTTGCCGGGCTGTGGTGGCGCACGCCTTTAATCCCAGCACTCGGGAGGCAGAGGCAGGCAGATCTCTGTGAGTTCGAGGCCAGTCTGGTCTACAAGAGCTCGTGCCAGGACAGGCTCCAAAGCTACAGAGAAACCCTGTCTCGAAAAACTAAAAAAAAAAACAAAGGAAAGGAAACATACTTTGGCCCTGAATCTAGAGCTAGTTAAAGAAACATCATGCCAGGTGATGGTGGCGCATGTCTTTAATCCCAGCACTCGGGAGGCAGAGGCAGGCAGATCTCTGTGAGTTCCAGACCAGCCTGGTCTACAGAGCTAGTTCCAGTACAGGCTTCAAAGCCACAGAGAAACCCTGTCTCGGAAAAAAAAAAAAAAAAAGAAAGAAACAACATCACCCCCAAAACAGAGCCAAATGTTAAAAATAGGAAATATACTTTGAATCTTAAACCAGAGTCAAAGAAACACACTCTACTCTTGTCCAACTGAACACAAAACCAATCCCAGAGCTCAAAATCTAGTGCTGGAAATATTTTAAAGTCTATTTATATCAGTTTGGAGTCTGAAATAGGCACAAACTCATAAAGAAGAAATCCCTATTCATGAAAACAGTTTGTTAATGAATTTAGATTTCACAGTTGTCTTTAGATTCAAGAATAATTGTTTCTCTTCATAGCCTTAAAGTAAGCAAATTATGTACCATGTTTACTCCAGACTGGTGGAGGAGATCATGGCAGTGTGGTTTCTATTTTGAAACATGAGATAGTCACTAAAGTGTGCTCTGTTTGTGGCAAATCCATTTAGTGAAGTTTATTTTGTAGTCCTTATATTCCTTCTGTGACTTTTGTTCAGCTTCTGTTGTGCCTGTACCTAGTGATAGGTATTTTTCTGCTGTAACGTATATAATGGAGCCCCCATCATATAATTGTCCCATTGGTTATTGAAATGTCAGACCATGTTTGATCATACTTTTCAAGTAAGGGTGGTGGTTAGTTGCTCCTAGTTGAGTCTCATCTTTTCAAAAATTTCCTTGAGATTTGTTGTTTGTTATTTGTCTTAGCTTGGATGTCAGCAATGATTTAGGTATACATTTGAACTCATGATGCTTATGTGTTTTCCTCTTGAGTACAACAAATCCAAGGGTAGGTGATGAACTCCCAATGTGTGCTGTTTCTTCAAGAGATTTAACAATGTTAATGTTAAAAAGACTGATAAAAGAAATTATAAGAAACATTAAATATCTCATGTATGTATTCAAAGAAATATTTTCATTTATCTGATATAGATGTAGTAAAGTATGATAGTCAGCCATCAACTGTGTATCTAATACCAAAGTTTGATGTTCTATAGGGATTTAGGTTAGTTTTATTGTCTTGCACAAAACAGTCTTTTTCCACTGATCCATCTCACTGGTGCTCAACTTCAACTTGAAGAAATATTACAACAGTAAAATTTGTTCATTTTGATGACTAGACATTTATAACAGTTTCTCAGAACCAAAATTATATGCCAGAGAATTGTCTCATTTAGACAAATAAATAAATAGGGAATAGAGATTGAGGAAGACCTTTCATATCAACATTTGGCCTTCAGACACAAATGCTACACAGCACTTGGTGGGCCAGTCTTGAGATTACACAAAATTGTGTCAAAAACTAAACCAAAACCACACAGTGACAACAACAACAAAACAGAAGTTGTGAAGGGCTAAGAAGACAGGTAAGCTAGTCTTGTGAGCTTAAGGATCTCAATTTGAGCCCCAAAATTCATTTTGAGAAGAAAAAGAAAAAAAGGTATGGTCACAAGCAATGGGACTGGGACATGTAGACAAATGGGTACCTTGTCTTGTTAGTTAGCTAGACTAGTGTTTTTGAAAAGTTACAGAGCAATCAGAGACTCTATCTCAAAAGAAATAAAATAAAACTTGGAGAACTGACACCAGAGGTTGGCTTCTATCTTACACACACACACAACCATGAACTGCCAGGTTCTCTGGCAGGAAGAGCAGTAGCAGAGGCAGGCCTGCCCAGTTCTCCCTGGGACTGAGCAGAATGGTGAGTATCAGATGTTCCAGCCCTTCCCCCCTGGCCTCCAGGGAGAAACACACCCACTGGTTAGGATCAAGGGACAAGATGGATAAGCTTTTGTGCCCCATGATCTTTTTTTTAATTTTTGTTAATTTTTTTTTTCAATTTTTATTTTTAAGTTTGCGTCTGATTTCCCTAGAATCTGGTTTCTGGAATAAGTTATGCTTCTGGTTTATGAGACTTTGGGGGTCTGTCCCCATATTTGCATGACCCCCCTGGACCCAACATTTTGGTGGTTTGTATGAGGATGTTCAAACCTCTTTCTAAGGGGACATCCCAGTTTCCGGTTTTTGGCGAACTTTATTATTCTGTTTTTGCTCATTGGTAAGTTTCTGGGTCTGGTGACTGGTGTCTGGACAGTCTGGATGCTCAATTAGATATAGTGGACATGCTTTTTTAGAAAAAACATTTATTTATTAATTATGTATACAATATTCTGTCTATGTGTATGCCTGCAGGCCAGAAGAGGGCACCAGACCCCATTACAGATGGTTGTGAGCCACCGTGTGGTTGCTGGGAATTGAACTCAGGACTTTTGGAAGAGCAGGCAATGCTCTTAACCTCTGAGCCATCTCTCCAGCCCCTGTGGACATGCTTTTAACCTCAGAGCTGAAGGAAAATGTGGGATGGTTTCATTTCTCCTCTGGTTAGAACTGGAACGGGATGACATGGCCCAACATGCAGCATTCCCTCTTCTGAGTCTGCTGGCTTCTTGTCTTCCCATTTTATTTTCTTGTTATTCTATTTGTTGTCAGTCTTCTCGTTGTGATCATGTGTGAAGTAATTTTCATTATGGGAAAAGCTTCTTCCAAACCTCAAGCTCCCCTGGACCTTGTCCTTTCTCATTTTCAGGATTTCAAGGAGGCCACTGCAGTCTCTGTTGCCCCTGCGAAGCTGGAGCTACTAAAGAAAAACCTTTTACTTTCTTGCAGAGAAACACTCCCTCCCCTCCTCCTGCCCCCAACTTGCTACTTAGGTGCTGAGCCCACTTCACCTGTGTTTAGGGAAGCCACGGGTGGTGGGTGGAGGGAGAAGGTATCTCCTGCTCTCTTTCTCTCTCTCTCTCTCTCTCTCTCTCTCTCTCTCTCTCTCTGCACTTTGGGACTTCCTGATGGGGATGGCAGCTCTCACCTGTTTTATGTCCTCTTTCAAGTAGTGATCTGTATAACTGGAAACTTCAGACTCCTTCCTTTACTGAGAAACCCCAAGTGCTAAATAAAATATCTCCTAGATACTGTCCTGTTTACACATTCCCAGATGTGGGGGTGGATTGCTCCCTAAATAGAAGAGATAGAATTCAGCAAAAATGCTATAAGCAGGTTCCAGTATGAGATGAGATAGTTGAACCACTAATGATGGGGCATTCATTAAGGAGGTGATCTTAGAGCACTTGGTAGACAGCCCACCAATCTGTCTAAGGCTCCTGAGAACCAAATGGCAGTCAACCCGGCTTTCATCAACCAAGCAGTCCCAGATAGTAAGAGGAAGCTTCAGCCACTTAAAAACTTGAAGGTAAAACTCAGACTAAATTGATTGCTTTAGCCACTAAGGTTTATAACAACAGAAAAACACCTAAGGATAAACAAGTTCAGGGACTGACAAAAGTCTTACTGGCAGATAAGAGCAGGAGACCCGATGGGCAGAGGGAACACAGACTGTCCCAAATAGCCAACAGGCAATAATGCCCACAAAGAAGAAACGGGACAAAAAGTCCTAAAATTGCCAAATCCAGAAGCCTGAAAGAGCTGAAAGGTTTGAAGCCTCCCCTTGAGCCTTGGGTAACCCTAAAAGTGGAGGGTTAATCTGTTGATTTCCTAGTGGACACAGTTGCTCACAATTCAGTGTTAAAAACTCTATTGGGGCCTCTGTCAGACAAAAAAATGTGGGTTCAAGGTATGGGATTAGGAAGAAAGAAATTCATGCATTCCTTTATAGTTACCCCTGAATGCCCTTACCCCCTCCTGGAAAGAGACTTATTGGCTAAAATGAAAGCCCAAATTTATTTCATTGGGAAAGGGGTGACGATCTCCCCATGGCCTGAAGTCTGTGCCTTATTTCTAGATCTGAAAGAATACAGGCTCTTCTAACAGGCACTCACTTTAGAGGCCTCTTCTCTAATGGCTAAACTCTAGTGCTCCATCCCAGGAGTGTGGAAACTAATTCACCTGGACTAGTGATTCAGGAGCCCCCAGTTGTAGTCACCTTAAAAGCCAATGCCCAAGAGATGAGGGTGAGACAGTTCCCCATGACCCCAGAGGCCAAGTTGAGCATTACTAAATATATCATTCAGTTCCTGGAGCATGGAATCCTAATGTCTTGCCAGTCTCCACAAAACACTCTGCTTCTGCCAGTTAAAAAGCTAGGGACCAGTGACTTTCAACCCATGCAAAATCTTAGGAAGATTAATTAACAGGTTAAAGATAATCATGTTACAATTCCCAACCCCTACACTCTCCTGAGCACCCTCTCCCAGGAGCTTCAAGTGTATTCAGTTCTAGATCTTAAAAATGCCTCTTCAGTTTAACTCTTGAATCCAAGAGTCAGCTGCCTTTTGCTTTCGAGTGACATCACCAAGACCAGGTGTTGTTCCTTTTGCAAACTACAGCTCCCAGCATTCCCCTGGACTGGAAGCCGCAAAGGCACAGGACACTTCTCCCAGATGCCCTTGCATCCCTCATTAAAAGACGGGGGTCGCCACGAGCCCCCTCTCTCTCCCCCCCTTCCTTTAGTCTCTGCACACCCATACCCTACGTGTTGTTACCCCTCCCCCATTAAAGTGCACCCACGTGGGACCGCCGTGTGTCTGTGTCTCCTTCCTAACCCCACACCGCCGTGTTTCTCGCGTAAGGTCTCCACTCTTGTCTGTCTAACCCCCGCAGACAAGAAAGGCAGAAACAAGAATAACACCAGGGCTTCAGTGGTAAGCTCACCTGGACTTGCCTGCCACAAGGATTCAAAAATTTCTCAACCATCTCTGATAAAGCCTTACAATGAGACTTAAAGGATTATCAGTCCCTATAGCTGGAGGTTCCTCTGAGCTTC